GAAAATTTTGAAAAAATTTAGATATTGGATGATTGTTTAGATGGCTTGTCTCAGATTAGATTTTTTTTTGTGGTTTATAACAACGGTTTATTTTGGTTCGTTTTACTACACGTTTTGTTGTTCTACAATCTGTTGAGATTTTTTGAAATGATCATGAAATTTTTGTTATTGGAAATAATTGCTTGGTCAAAGCTAAACATTTTGAATCATAACTGAGGTGTAATTGTTTGAAATTCACTACCAACGTTTAACAGTAGTGCTATAAACAATGCTAGCACTAATTTATTGAGAAAGGTATAAAATGAGTACAGCTTTTGTTAAGTTTTCTAGTAGTTGTACAAAAATCTCTTTACGATGATTAACTTTTCGTAAAAATTGGCGTGTGAAATAAAGGTGTCAAAAGTGAATTACAAATCAGCTTCTTGAAATAGACATTTTTTAACCATGTTCAAGGCATATTTACCCATCGCTGTATTAAAATTGTTGTTTTAAAGGAAAAAAAAACAATGACATGCTTTTAGAAAATTTACTGAACTTTTGAAGATATGATTAAAGCGATACAAGTATTTGAAACTAAAAAATCATTAAGTGCCAGAAAAACGGCAAACTAAATTTATAACGTCATAAGCTTCAATGCTACCCAAAATCAATCTATTGTTGAAGTTCCTAAAAAAGAAAACCGCGTAAAATTTCGCAGTATAACGATATCCATCTGATACTTTGATTGTTTATTTGAAGTGATATAATATAATTGTCAACTGTTGTCTATTAATTAGAAAAAGTAGTTTCAAAAAAGAAAAAGAAATTATTTAATTTACCTGACGAAGATTACTCAGTTTTTTGTAGAGCTAACAGGAACAGTGTTTCACTAAACGTCATCAATTTTGGACAAAAATTCTGCAACATCTGTGACCGATGATTTCGGATTATGGTCAGAGCAATGATGATAGAATGTTGGTTCATGTGCCATCCTTTTCGGTGCAATTTCAGGTAACAACAAACTGTAACGCGTAAATTCTGCTTCAATCTTTAATCTGTGACTGGCATTCCAACTGGTAAAATTTTTATCATTACCAAAGTTCCTTCTGCATCCGTATTTGAGGCATCAGTCAACTGTTCTAGCAGTTGCGTCACAAGTTTTAGTCTTATATTTATCTTACTGAACAATTGAAACAATTATAAAAAATAAAAATATTATCAGTATAATCAACAAATTCAAAATAATATTGTTTTTTGTTTTTTCTGTTTATATTTTTTCTTTCAGAACATTTTGTTGTGTAAAAGATTGATAAAACTATTTTGAAGAGCTGTTGATAAAAGGTGACAGTAAAACGTGTTTGTTGCAAGGGATCTGCTTTAACGGCATATCTGTCAGAAAACCTTTGGCAGCAAAAAGTTTCTTGGATGTTTTTTTGATTTTTAAGATTCTTTACTTTTTGTCGATTTTACTGTATTCTTTGTTTTTTACAATTACACGTGCAGTCTAGACACCGTTTAGACGTGTTAAAAGCTTTTCAAAGCGGAAAGTTGCAAAACATATTGTTCTGCATATTTCAAATCTGAATAAAGGTTTTAACTTTTTCTTCTTAATTTTTTGTAAAAATTAATTTCACCACATTTTTTTTTCTTAAAAAAAAGCAAATAGAAATAACGTTCATTAGTGAGTGATCTGTTTAACCATTTTGAGTTTGTTATAGTTTCTTCAATTTTGCGCTGCATAAACATTCAACAGTGGTTTACCTAAAATATAAATCTCTAAATAATCCTCACCTAACCTTTTAATATATATCTGTTTTCACATCTACCTTCATCAACTTAAAATCCAAAATTTGCTGTTTGTTGTTTGTTGTCAGAATTAAAAAAAGGCCTTTATGTGTCAAAACTAATAATAAAATGCCAGAATTTCGAACATCGAATAACCAACATTTTTTTGCATGTAAGTTTAACAGTTATTGAAAAATTGAAACCAGTTTTTTTAATGAGTTAAACTGTGGATTTCTTTTTTTTTTAAACTACACTTTTCCTTTACATTTATTGTTTTTTTTTTTTTTTTTTTTTTTTTTTTTTTTTTTTTAGCTTTAATTAATTCTTGTTTACTAAAGATGTTTCTGGAGCAAATATAGAGATAAAAAAAATTGACAAGCTTTTTTTTTTATGTTTTGAGTAGTTTATTATAATTTTTCAGGCGGCAGCCGTTTTTGATCGGTGGCGATGGGAATGACGGCCGAGGAAACAAATACGCTACCGATCTGTGACGGTTTGTCGTCGATCTAAAAATATCATCAGGCCTACCGCCTGTTTTGTCAGACTTTCTCTTTTTTTTTTT